GAGCAGTTTTCAGGAGTGAGGTCTGCCCTAGAGGACTGTGAGCAGTTTCTGATGACTGAACTAATATGAATGATCTAGTGAGTGTAACAAAGGTTCTCCAGACTGGCTCCTGGGAAGAGGGGATTTCTGAGCAGAAGAAATTGAGTAAACAGGGCTTATATTCTGTGGGATAAAATCAAAGTCACCATAGTGCTACTGGACAACCAGGCTGTCTCTCATTCGAGACAGACAAATGGTGGTGGCTAACCTGAGAGTCAGGCAAGGGAAGAAGTCAAGAAGGACAGTCCTTCATGGTCACCTCAGCTGGTGAAGGAATTGAACCCACACTGTTGGTACCACTCCAAATCATAAATCAGCCGTCCAGCCAACTGAACTAACTGATGACCAACCTGTAGGATATAGAGAAATAGAAGTGATCTCATTGAATTATCTTTTTTTTTGGAAGATGCTTGATAGGAACAATGCTGAGTAAATGTTTCCTCTGGCTGGGAAATCTCGGACATGGGGTAATTGTCTCAGAATAAGGGTGTGACCATTTCAGATTGAGGTGAGGAGCAATTTCTTCACTCACATCACTGTAAATCTGTGGAATTCTCTATTCCAGGGAGCTGTAGATCCTTGGTCATCGCGGGTTTCCAAATCAGGCAGTGTTAGATTTTTGTACATCAGCAATGAGGGAAATGGGGATAATTTGAGAAGGTAGAACTGACGTAGATGACAGGAGGAACAAGGTCAAAGGGCTGAATGGATGTTTACTGTTTCTATTTCTGCATTTGATTCTAGCCTCAGGCTGCTGTCTAAATGCAGTTCGCACAGTCTCTGTGTCTGTGCAGGTTTCCTCCAGGTGCTCTGGTTTCCTGCCAGTCTAAAGCTGTGCAGGTTAGGGTGGATTGGCTGTGCTAAATTGCCCATAGTGCCCGGGTATGTGCAGACTATGTGGATTAGCCATGTTAAATGCAGTGTTACTGAGACTGGGTAGGACACTCTTCGTGATGGGCCAAATGGTCTGCTTTCACATTGGAGGGATTCTATGATCTCCAGAAACAAGCCGAAAAAACATGGTTTGGATATAGCTAACAGCAGAATTAAAACTCAATTAACACTTACTCAGAAATTTGCTGGTAGTTAACCAGTCCTGATGAACCAGGAAATCCCTTTTCACATACTGTGCAGGTGGACAGTCTTTAGTCAGTGTGACTGTGTCGATGTATGGTGACAATATGACTATTTCCAAGCTCTACCTTACAGATACACAACTGTTATTAACATTTTATCCACAATACCAGCACCTGTAATTGAGCAGGGATTAGTAACATCAGTCTATAACATGACCTCCCAACTCCTATACTCAATGCACTGACCAATAAATGCAAGCATAGCAAACATCATTTTCACTACCTTCTGTACCTGCAATCTACCTTCAAGGAACTGTACACCTGCACCCCAAGGAGTCTCTGTTGCGTAACAATGAGGCCCTGGGGACTGTTAAGTGTTTAAGTCCTGCCCTGATTTTCATTACCAAAACGCAATATCTCACACTTATCTAAACTAAACTTATTTCTATCACTCCTTGGCCCATCGACCCATCTGATTACGTTCCCATTGTACTTGGAGGTAATCTTCTTTGCTGGGTACTACACCAACAGTTTTAGTGTCATCTGCAAACTTACTAACCATTCCTCCAATACTCATTCCAAATGATTTATATCAATGACAAAAAGCAGTGGACCCAGCACTGATCCTTGCAGCACACTGCTGTTCATAGTCCTCCAGACTGAAAAAAACAATCCTCCACCATGATTCTGTCTCCTACCTTCAAGCCAATTTTGTTTCAAATACCTAACTCTCCCTGGATTCCATTTGATCTAATCTTGCTAACCAGTCTATCATGTGGAGCTTTGGTGAATGCCTTGCTGAAGGCCATATAGACAATGTCCACAGCTTTGCCTTCATCAATCTTCTTTGTCACTTCTTCAAAAAACTCAATCAAGTTAGTGAGACAAGATTTCCCACTCACAAAGCCATGTTGACTATCCCTAATCAGTCCTTGCTTTTCCAAATACATGCAAATCCTGTCCCTCAGAATCCCCTCCAACAATTTACTCACCACTGACATCAGGCTCACTGGTTGATAGTTCCCTGGCTTTTCCTTAAAGAATGGCACCACATTAGCCACGCAGTCTTCTGGCACCTCACCGGTGTCTATCAGTGATACAAATATCTCAGCAAGGGGCCCAGCAATTACTTCCCTAGCTTCCCCCAGAGTTTGTGGATAACTCCTGATCAGGTGCAAGGGACCTATCCACCTTTATGCATTTTAAGACGTCCACCACGTGGTCCTCTGTAATATGGACACTTTTTATGACTCATATTTATGTCTCCAAGTTCTCTAGCTTCCATATCCTTCTCTGCAGTAAATACTAATGCGAAATACTCATTTACTATCTCAGCCTGCAGTTCCACTCAGAGACTGCCTTGTTGATCTTTAAAGGGGCCCTATTTTCTCCCTCGTTGCTTTTTTGTCCTAAATGTAGTTTCAGAATCTCTTGGGATTCCCCTTAACCCTATTTGCCAAAGATAGCTCATATCTCCTTTTCACCGTCCTGATTTCCCTCGAGTATACTCCTACTGCCCTTATACTTTGAGGGATTGACCCAATTCCTGCTGTCAATACCTGGCATGTGCTGCCTTCTTTTTCTTGACCAGAGCCACAATTTCTCGAGTCATCCAGTATCCCCTACACTTACCAGCCTTGCCCTTCACATGAACAGGAATATACTGTCTCTGGACTCTCCTTATTTTATTTTTGAAGGCCTCCCACTTTCCAAGCATCCCTTTACCTGTGAATTGCCTCTCCCGATCATCTTTTGGAAGTTCTTGCCCAATACCGTCAAAGTTGACCTTACTCCAATTTAGAACTCTGAAATTTATATTAAATATATAAGTTTTACATTTAAACTAATCCCATCTGCCTGCATCTGGCACACATCCCTCTAAACCTTTCTTAGAAATGTATTTATTCAAATGTCTTTTAAACAGTGCGACTGTACCTGCATCCACCACCTCCTCTGAAAGTTGGTTCCATACATGAACCACTGTAAAAAAAAGATTGTCCCTCATGTCTTTTTTTAATATGTCTTTCTCCTCTCACCTTACACATATGTCCCCTTGTCTTGAAATCCCCCAACCTAGGGAAAAAAACCCTTGCTATTCACATATTCTGTGCACCTCATGATTTTATAAACCTCTGTTAGGTCACCCCTTAACCTCCGATGCTCCAGTGAGAAAAGTCCTAGCTTTGGCAGTCTATTTTGATAATCAAACCCTCAATTCCTGGCAACATCCCAGCAAGTCTTTTCTGAACTGTCTCCAGTTGAATGATAATATCCTTCCTGTAACAGGGCGACCAGAACTGCACACAATACCTCAAATGAAGCCTCACCAACGTCCTGTACAACCTCAACATAACATCCCAACTCCTGTACTCAAAGGTCTGAGCAATGAAGGCAAGTGTGCTAAACAACTTATTAACCACCCTGTCTACCTGTCTACATAAACTTCGAAGAATTATGTACCTGAATCTCAGCATTTCTCTGTTCCACAACACTACCCAGGGTGCAACCATCAATTGTGCAAGTCCTACCCTTGTTCATTTTACCAAAATACAATATCTCGCATTTATTCAAATTGAACTTCATCTTCCACTCCTCAACCCATTGACCCAATTGATCAAGATCTCGCTGTCATCTTAGATAACCTTCACTAACCACTATACCACCAATTCTAGTATCATCTGCAAACTTACTAATCTTGTCCCTTAAATTCTCATCCAAATCATTAATATAAATGAGAAACAAAAGTGGACCCTATACCGATTGCTGTGGAACACCACTGGTCACAGAACTCCACTCTGAAAAATCCTCCAGCATCATGCTCTCTTCCACAACTAAGCCAATTTTGTTTCCAATTAGCAAGCTCTTCCTGAATCACATGTGATCTAACTTTACTAGTTAGTCTACCACGTGGAACCCTGTCAAAGGCTTTACTCTCACTCTAGAGGTGCTGCAAATCTAACCCAATTCCCCTGCCATTTGTCCACGGCCCTCTTAATCATTCCTTGAAAAGTTAAAATCCCAAATCTCTTTTGAGAATAACTGCTGAATCTGCATCCAGCTGCCATTCAGACTGTTCCAAATCCTGGGATCTTGCTGAGTCAAGTAATCTTCACATTTTCACCCTGCATTATTTGCCAATTATCTGAATGTTGTATTCTGCGGTTACCAAACGTTGCCACAATGTTAATAATTTTTCTTTCTCTGCAAACTACTATCCTGGAAACAAATCTACTACTCGACTAAATCATTGCTAATCAGCCCCAAGGAGAATTATCTGAGCTTCTGCTAGCTCTCTCCAAACCAGAAACCCATCATAATTTTAATTTACATATGGGATGTGGTCTTTGCTGTCCAGACGAATATTGATTGCCCATTTTTATTTGATTTGGAGGAAGTGGTGGTGAACTCCATGTGCTGTAAGTACACCACTGTGCTGTTTAGACGATAATCCACCCTGGAGCCTCACCACCCTTCCTATCGCAGGAATCATACCTCAAACCTCACTACCCTCCCTATTATGAGAATGACCCTTGAGCCTCACTACCTGCACTATTGCAGGCATCACCCTCGAGCCTCACCACCCTCCACATCGCTGGAATCCCTCTCCAGATTCACGACCTGCCTGTCGTTGGAATCTCCCCCTAGCCTCAGAACTCTCACCATCTGTCCATATTTAGATTCCCCCAGTCTCACAAACCGCCTTATCTCTGTAATCTCCTCCAGCCTCAACACCCTCCTATCTCTGTAAATTCCTCCAGCCCATATAAACTTCCTTAGCTCTGTAATTGTCTTTACCCTCACAAAGCTCCCTTTGTTTGAAATCCAATCCAGCCTCACAATCCTCACCATTTCTGTAACCTCCTCCAACCTCACACTTTTCCCTATTTTAGTAATCTTCTCCACTCTCAGAACCCTTCCTGTCTCTAATATCCTCCAGCCTCACAAATCTCAATGATGTGCTTTCCTCTAATACAATGCTTATGATGATACCCCATTTTTACTCCTCCACTTGATGGCGGCACTTTCAATTTCCTGGGCTTCAAGCTCCAGAATATCCTGGTAAACCGCTTCATCTCTATACCTCACTTTTCTCCTGAAAACATTGACCAATCATGAGTCATTTATTCTAATATCTCCTTTTCTGAACTGGCTTGAAATATTGCTTGGCATCTTCCTATGTGAAGTGTCTCGGAGGTCTACAGTACAAAAAAAGGCTCTGTGGCCCATCCAGCCTGTGCCGGTTAAAAACCACCACCTAACTATTCTAATCTAAATTTCCAGCACTTGGCCCATAGACTTGTCTGCGGTGGCATCACAAGTGTGCATCTAAATATGTCTGAAATGTTATGAGGATCTCTGTGTCTACCACCTTACAGACAGTGAGGTTCAGAGCAATTGTCACAGCATGATAACATCACAGACAGGAACAGAGACGAGCTGAGTCTGTGCAAACCAAAGATCACCCACACATTGTGAAGGATGGGAGGGTCCCTGACAGGGGGCAGAGGAGATTTAACAGAATGATTTGTAGGAAGAGGGTTTTTAGTTGCATGGTTAGGGCTGTTTTTGACATTATTCTTTCATGTGACTTGGGCGTTGCTGGTACATATCGAGAATATCCATCTACAATAGATGGACTCTCCTTTCCAACCTTTCCCCTCGCCTGGGGTGTGGTAATCTTCAGGTTAAACCAGCCCTATGGTCAGGTAGGACAATGGTGACTTTACCTTTGGCACAGTGATGCTACTGTGCCTTAGTGGTGAAGGGGGGCATGTTGAATGTGATGGATGGGACACCACTCTGACACAGTGCTTCATCTGGAGGATGTTCAGTTTCTTTAATATTGTTGGGGCTGCACTGATGCGGGTAAGTGGAAAATGTTCCAACACAATCCGGATGAGTGCCTTATAGACAGCAAACAGTCATTGGGGAATCAGGTGTTTGGGGAAACTGAGATTGTTCTCCTTGTAACAAAGGAATTTGAGGGGACCTTTGATAGAGGTGTTTACAAAAGATATACATATGGATGATAAAACGTATACTCATCAACTGATCATAAAAAAGGATTACAGGACACATATTGAAAGTTTTAGGGAAGATCTATTGAGAGAATGGGGTGATTTAAGAGAGAAATTTTACACGGCAAATGGGAATGAGCAGGAACACAATACTCACACACAATGCGAATATCCAGGTCCTGATGAATTGAGTAATTCTGTCAGAGTTTGGTGTTACAATTATTGAGATTCCCACCTGAAAGTCCACTTGTAATATCCTGTAACACAAATTCATAAAATCCATAACTGTCAGTCCAGGGTAGAAATTCACAACATCTCCTCCTCCTGGCCGAGGATAACTGTGCATTGTCCCTGCTACACATTATCCCTTGTGGAGGTCAGCAGTGAATTCAGGGGGAAAACTATTTGGGTTTCTGGGAGTTTCCACCTTGGGACTTCATGTCACTGAACAGATCAGCAGGTCTTTGACACATGGCAAAGAATGGCCAAGAGTTAGTGAGATGCAGACAGCAGGATTCGTTTCCTTTTCTTTCCTTCCGTGCTGCTGCACTGCCACAATGAGACTTTGGGCCGGAAAAGCTAACGCAGCTTGATGGATAAGTTGTCTCGATTCTGAACAATGGACAGTAAGCTTCTCCCAGTCATTCGAAAGAATGCCCATTAAAAAGGTAGCAATTACGTATATGTCGTGTTGCCCAGTGTTCCCAACGAAAAGATTAGAAGAATGAGGGAGGATTTCATAAAAAAGGGATAACAGTCAAGTTTCATGAGGGTTACAGTTTATGGAGAGATATTGATAAATGGGCGACAAGTTGGCAAATGGAGTATAATGCGGGAAAATGTGAAGTTGTTCATTTTTGAGGAGACAACCAAAGAACACAGTGTTATTGAAAAGGTAAAAACTGTGGAAAACTGCGACACAAAGGGACTCAGGAATAATTGTGCAGGAAACACGAAGCGAGCATACAGTTGCAACAGGTAATCAGGAAGGGTAATGGGAAGTTATCCCTTATGTCAAGGTGTTTGCAGTATAAGAGTTTGGAATATATGTCTTAGGACAAATGCACAAATTGCTCGTAAGACCACATCTGGAGGAATGTGAGCAGCTTTTTTGGTCCACTTATTCAAGCAAATATATCACTTCATTGGAGGCACTTCAGAGAAGATGAACTAGGATGATCATTGGTTTGGAGGGATTATCTTTTAAGCTAAGACTAAACAGGTTTAGAACCTACTAACTAGATTTTTGAAGAATGAGAGATGATCTAATTAAAAATATAGGATTCTTAAGGGAGTTGACAGGATAAATGCTGAGGGGATATTTCCCATCGTGGGAGCAGATTCTTGATAAGGCGGAGAATAGAGCGTTCTCTTTTGGAATCGTCAAAGTTAAGGCAACACAGACATGGGTAAGGGGTTTCAGTCGCAAATGAGCTGGAGTGAGGTGGAGAGAAGGAGCATTTTAGAGATTGAAGTTTCTGGCATTTGTGATTGAGAAGATGTATGGTAAGATGTTCATCTTGAGGCCAGATATGACAGCATTATTGAGAAGAGTGCAGTTCAGCCTTAGACAGTTCCCAGCAAGAGGGATGGATTCAGTACAGTAGTAAGGAAAAGTAATTTGTAATAACAACTGAAGGCAATGGGTCTAACTATTACAAAGTGTTATTGGAGGAAATTTCAGCTAATCAAGTAGTGGAAGCATGCTAAGCAGTTTTATAATTGAGTAACAGTGGGGCAAAGGAGAGTGATGGAGGGGAGTTAGATCTGAACATTGTAGTATGCGTGTGAAACCTAACACGGTGCTTGTGGAAGATCTCACCTCCTGGCAGTATGTCGGCGAGAAATAGGATGGGCCAAGGATAGATCCTTGAGGGACATCGACTACATGGATTTCAGACAGGAAAGAGAGAGTGGAGATGGAGTGGGATTTTCCAATGACGGTGAGGTCAAATATTGGTTTCAAACAGAATGGGTAAGAAGGACATAACCAGAAAAGAGAAACAGACAGAACAAGTAACAATATCTGTGAATTGGCATGGGGGAGAGGCAAGGAGGAGGAGGAGAAATAAGACAGAGTTAGAATGTTTGTAGTTTAGCGAGAATAGGGCAAAGGGTTAAGATGAGCTCTGATAAGGCTTGACACGAGACTGGAGAAAGATGCAAGTTTAGGACTAAAACGAGGAGCAACATGCAAGGCAATTTGGTTTGGTGGGCTCGTGGAAGAGAGGGAAGCAGCAGAGACAGCTGATTGGATTGTCTCAATCTTAGTGACATAGAAACTCCATGTGTCTCCCTCACTTGTTGTTGGAGGGGAGGATGGAAAAGACAGGATGATGGACGTGTTTTGCAAAGAAACAATGCCTGTGTTAGTTACATTTAAAAATGAGTGAACAAACCTGATGTACTTAACTTTTATCCAGAATATTAAAATGTACAACAGAAGTCGGGGTTCGAATCCCATGTCAGCAGATGGTGGAATTTGAATTCAATAAAAAATAACTGGAATTAAGAATCAACTGGTTGCCATGGAACCATTGCTAATGGCAGAAAAAAAATCTAATGTCCTTCAGGGAAAGAAATTGGCCAACCTCAGCAAGCCACTCAGTTGCAAATCACTGCAAAGTCTCAACAAAGGAATGAAACTGGGTGGACCACTTGGCATCTACCAAGGCACTAGGAAAGACAACTGCAGAATCAGCCCTATCGACCCCGCAAACTCCTCCTTACTAATATCTGGGGGCCAGTGGCAAAATTTGGAGAGCTGACTCAAAGACTAGTCAAGAAACAGCGTCATATGCATGGAATCATACCTTACAGACAATGACACACGTCACTATCACTGTCCTTAGATGAGTCCTGTCCCACGAGAAGGACAGACCTGGCAGACGTAGCAACACAGTGGTATTCTGACCAGATTGATTTGACCTGAGAGTACTCAACACTGACTCTGACGCCTAGGAGTCTCATGGCTCCTGCTGATTACCATGTACCATCCTCCCTCGGTTGATAAATCGGCAGCAGTATTATTGCTGGATTATTAATCCAGAGACCCAGCTAACGTTCTGGGGACTTGGGTTCGAATCCTGCCATGGTAGATGGTGGAATTTGAATTAAATAATGATCTGGAATTAAGAGTCTAATGATGACCATGAAACCATTGCCGATTATCAGGAAAGACCGATCTGGTTCACTGATGTCCTTTTGGGAAGGAAATCTGCCATCCTTACTTGGTCTGGACTACATGTGACTCCAAACCTACAGCAATGTGGTTGACTCTTAACTGCCTTCTGGGCAATTAGGGATGGGCAATAAACGCTGGCAAAGCCAGCGATTTCCACATCCCAAGAGTGAATTTTAATAAAAAAAACTCCTCCATGTTGAACAGCACTTGGAGGAAGCACTGAGAGTGTAAATGGCACCAAATGTACTCAATGTCCACCATCAGGAGTAGTTTGCAGCAGGATTACCAATCAAGCTGGTCAGGTCCTAAAGGACAAAGCTGCCTGGCTGGGACTGCAGCAGGTGGTGACGCAACCAACAAAAGGGAAAAACATAGCTGATCTCATTGTCACGAATTTCTCAGCTGCAGATGCATCTGTCCTTGACAGGATTGATAACAGCGACCACCGCACAGTCCCGTGGAGACAAAGCCTCATCTTAAACTGGAGAATACCCTCCATTGTGTTGAGCGGCACTAACATCGGCTAAATGGGACAGACTTGGAACAGATATAGGAACTCAAAACCAGATATCTATGAGGCTTTGTGGGACATCAACAGCAGCAGAACTTACTCCAGCACAATCTGTAACCTCATGGCCCAGCATATCCTGCACTCAACCATTACCATTGATCCAGGGGATCAACACTGGTTGAATGGATAGTATAGGAGGGCATGCCAAGAACAGCACCAGGTATACCTAAAAATAAGGTGCCAACCTGGTAAAACTACCAAACAGGACTATCTGCATGCCAAATAGCATAAGCAGCAAGAGTTAGAGCTAAGCCACCCCATAACCAATAGATCAGATCTAAGCTCTGCAGTTCTGCCACACCCAGTCGTGAATGGTGATGGACAATTAAACAACTCACTGGAGGAAGCATGCCAAAAATCCCCATCCTTACTGACAGAGGAGCCCAACCTATCCATGCAAAAGATAAGACTGCAGAATTTGCAACAATCTTCAGCCAGAAGTGCCAATTGGATGATCCATCTCAGCCTTCTTCAGAGGTCCCCAACATCACAGATGAAAGTTTTCATCCAATCTGATTCATTTCAAATAATATTAATAAATGGATGAATAGTGCAAAGGTTATGGGTCCTGGCAATAGTACCGATGACTTGTGCTCGAGATCTTGCTACCCGCCAAGCCAAACTGTTTCAGTACTGTTACAGCACCAGCATCTACCGACAATTTGGAACATTGCCCAGGTCTGTTGAGCACAAAAACACAGAGCAAATCCAACCTGACCAATCTCCCCTCAAGCAGTCTACACTCTATCATCAGTAAAGTGATGGAAGGTGTCGTCAACAGCGCTATTCAGCAGCACTTACTCAGCAGTAACCTGCTCAGTGACACCCAGTTTGGGTTCCGCCGGACACTCAGTTCCTGATCTTATTACAGACTTGATCCACAAATTCACAAACAGCTGAATTCCTGAGGTGAGGTGAGGGTAACTGCAGAGTCCTGCACCAAAACCACTTATTTCCACTTCAGTGACAATGACCTGACCCCACCTTAGTTTCAGCTCATCTGCTGAACCTCTCATCCATTCCTGCGTTACCTCTCGACTTAACTATCCACACACACTCCCAGTCAGCCTCTCACATTCAACGTCCCTGTAATCTCAAGAATATCTAAAATTCTGCTGCACACATGTTCATTTGTACCAAAACCTGTTCACCCATCACTGTTGTGCTCCCTGACCCATAAAGGCTCCTATCTATAAGCAACAACAATTTAAAATTCTCACTCTTGATTTAATTCCTGGCTGTGATGATCCCTATCTCCCTGCACCACACAACCTTCGAGACTCCAACAATGCATTTAATCATTGCTTCACAATTGGAGGCTGTTTCTACAGTTGCCAGGCAACATGGTCTGGAATTCCCATGATAAACCTCTCAGGTTTGCTTTCCTTCTTTAAGATATTCATGAAAACCTGCGCATTTGGTAATGCTTTTGGTCACCTGACCTAATATTTATATCTATGGCCTTACATCAAAAGTTCCTTGATAACATTTTTGTGAAATTATAAACATGATAAAAATAAAAATTACACCATACACCATCAGCTCTTCAGTATCGCTAGATGAATGATCTGTAACTTTTCAAATAACCGCATTGTGGGAGCACCTTCATCATACAAACTGCAGCAGCACAAGAAAGTCAAACATCACCTTTTCCACAGGCAACAGGGCTTTGGCAATGATCGCTGGTATCTGTGGAAGGAGAAACAGAGTAAATGTTGCAGAAGTGCAAAATGAATGACATGGAATAAAAATGCTGTAGAATTTGATGGTCTGAAATGGAAGGGAAATGCACTCTCTTTCTCAGAAAATATTTCCTGACTGTGAAAGATACCATTCAAAAATTAATCCAGTAAGAGAGCAGCACATGGTCAGGTGGTGGGCAGCAGTGGAAAATTCATTTACAAAAGGTCTATGAAAGTAACAGTAAAATACAAAACAGAGATCAAATATATCCACCATTACAGACTGAAGAGATTAGATACCGACAAAGAGATGATCAGGGAGCACAGAAGTGAGTAAGAGCAGTGCTAGCTGCTATGATCCCACACTCTGGGAAAGAAATCCAGAAGAAACAAACATTTCTCTTGGTTTGAATTTGCTCTATGTAAATCCTCTCCGATCACTTTCATTTCTGAAGAATGGTCCAGACTCGAAACGTCAGCTTTCCTGCTCCTCTGATGCTGCCTGGCCTGCTGTGTTCCTCCAGCTCCACACCTTGTTATCTCACTTTCAACCAGAGACGGCTGCGCATGCGACCAGCTTCACCTTGGCCCTTTCAAAGTCTCACAGCTGCCGCGCATATGCCCCGCGGATCATTGCCCCCAATAAAGATGGTGGCGCTCACACGGGCCTATCGCCATCTGAGGCGTTGATTTGTTTTCTACAAACGTGAATCTGGGAGTTTCAAATCTGTGTTTTACGACGTGCACTAAGTGTCTGTAAAACTTCCAAGCCCGTACGGATATCACTTCCCTCCCGCTTTCTGTCGTTTTCCTTTCTTTCCCATATCCTGCTCTTACCTCAATTGCACAAACCTCGGTCACAGCGAAACTGCACTGCGCGCATGGACGATCACGTGGTTTTACTGGTCCCGCCCCGTCTTCATTCCGAATGGTCAGAAGGGCAGCTACGTCCGACAGGTCATCCAGGGCGCCCCTGTGCTTCTATTGGTCCCGCACTGACATCAATCACCCAGACTCCGTCGTGAGCACCGTCATCAGAATCTTGCATTTTCAGACAAATGAAAATTAGAACTAGATTAGAAAGATTGTTACGTTAGCGATCCTGGGATTTTAATAAGTGGCTCTGAGGAAGGGTCACTGGACCCGAAACGTTAACTCTGTTTTTTCCTTCACAGATGCTGCCAGACCTGCTGAGCTTTTCCGGCAACTTTGTTTTTGTTCCTGATTTACAACATCCTCAGTTCTTTCGTTATTTGTTTTACTAAGTCGTGTTTGAAAAGGCTTCCTGCTGCTCAAAACTAAAGGTAGCTCTTGATACCGCTCTGTCAGCGAATAGAGAAATGGCGGTGAAATAAGTGTAATAATTACAGGTATAGCAGTCCTCAGTTAAGATGTAAAGAGAATAATTAGGAATATGAAGAACATCACGTGGTTAAGTGAGGTGAGTGTTGTTCATATGAACTGTGATTGGGCAGAGAGGGAGGTTAATCAAAGAACAACAAGGATAAAAGAGATTCTCAAGAAAGGTCTGTGCAATGGAAAGCAACCAGAATCAGAAGATAAAAGCCCAAGACAGAGGAAAAAGTTTGAAGACCGAGGCTGCCAAAGCTACAATAAGTTGTTTCACTGCTCTACTGCCTAGTTATTGACATAAGCAGTATAACCCGCATTCAACTGGAAATAGCTGTCTGAGTTTGTCACTGTAGTTTGCTTCATAATAGATAAACTTCTCCACACTTTGTCTCAATAAAGCTGATAGTTGGTTCACAACTTAGTTCTGCTGCCAAGTCCATTCCTGCTTGAAAACGGGTGTAGATCACATTTAAATAGACAACGCTAAATGTTAATCCAGGCTGGTAGCCAAACTCCACTCCCTCACCACTGACTCCATCCCTGCCCCTGGTAACTGGCTGCTAACACACTGCTCACAATCATGGTGCAATATTTGACCCCAAGATGAGCTTCCAACCACATTACTCACCCCCACACCCATCATCACAAAGACTACATACCATTTCAACTTCAGTAGCATCTCAGTTCATTTGCTGCTGAAACTCTCATCCATTCCTTTGTTACCTCTAGACTTAACTCCCCAAACACACTCCCGGCCGGCTTCTTAATTCCACTTCCCTGTAATCTTGAGGTGATCCAAAAATCTGCTGCCCATGTGTTTACTCTCACCCATTTCAATATCTTGGTGCTTTGCCATCCTGTGCTCACTAAAATACAAATTTTCTGGGTGGCAAAGCACCAAGATATTGAAATTCATATCCTTATTTTGAAATGTTGTCATCACATCTCCTTCTTTTAATAGTCCCTCCAGCCTCAAAACCCTTTACATATATCTGAAGAAGGGTCACCGGACTCAAAACAATAATTCTGCTTTCTCTCCGCAGGCACTGCCAGATATGCTGAGTTTTTCATCAATTTCTGTTTGTATTACTACTTGCAAGCATCCACAGTTCTTTTAGTTTTTCCTTCAAGATATTTGTTCTCCCTGACTTCCAACCTCCTGTGGATTTCTGGTTTTAACTCTCCCACCTTTTTCATGCTTTCAGTTTCCAAGGCCATAAGCTCTTAAATTTACTCCCTAAACATCCCTGATTTTCAAAGTCCCTTTGTTTGTTCAGGATATTCCTTAAAACCTACTTCTTTGGCCAGTTTTTGGTCACTTGTCCTAATATGTCCATAAGTGCCTGGTATCAAATATTGTTTTATGACAACCTTGTGTAATATGTCAGATCATTGGATTGAATCAAAAATGTGAAAATATTTAAATTGTTCATTTGGAAAACACCACTAATCCTTCACGATCATTTGGTAGCTCCTTACCTAATAGCATTGCAAGTGCAGCTTCACCACACGACCTGCAACGGTTCAGGAAGGTCAAACACCAAATTCTCCAGAGGTAACTGAGGATTGGCAATAGTTACTGATACCTGTGGAGAGTGATCCAAAGTTAATGTATCAGGATATGGTGAATGAATGACATGGTACAGAACTTGTTGGGTAATATAAGCTCAGAAACAGAACAGAAAAGGACTGCATTAAGAATAATTCCTGACTATGAAACATACTGTGCGAAGACAAAGCTTCGAAATCCATAGGATTTGATCAAAGAAATGTGATGAAAACATCATCTAGACATAATTTGATACAGTAACAGAAGCATTAAACAGACAAGTACTCACACATTATGAGAGACAGAGGGAAGGCAGAAGTGAAACAGAGCAATATACTGAAATGGATTCAGATCCATACTAACGGAGACACACCAGCCCTTGAGCTACAGAACCTCTCACAGGTAACTGGCACAACTCTAAAACTCAACATTGTTGATGAATGGTCAAAAATACTCCACCACATCACTGTTGTCAATTTGAAATTCTCCTGTTGCACCTGCAGCTGGAAAGATATCAGAAATACTGGAGTTAGAGAAAAATCTCACACTTGAGGAAATCCCTAAGGAACAGGTGATGTCACTGTGCTACTGTTGCTGCATGATTACATCACACACGGGAACACAGAGCATCTGGGTTTGTGCAAACCAGAGATCACCCACACATTGGGAAGGATGGAGGGTCGCTGAGAGGAAGCAGACCTGTTCCTTTGCCAGAAAGGTTAAAAATTGAAAGATTTATGATGTCAGGGATTAACTGAAGCTGAAGGGAGATTTGACAGACCCGTACTGTTTACTGTTGGTTTAGACAATGTAGATAAAACAAGGGGTTCACATTAACTGAAAAGAAATGGATCATGGGATACAAATGTCAGATTTAGATCAACATGGAGGTTATAAGAGAAAAATTACATGCAGTGAGTGGTAATGACAGGGACCTCAATACTTACACTCAAAAGGCCAATAATATCCAGTTTCTGATTAATCGATTGATCATGCCAAATTTTGATTTGATGTTTGTTTAAAGTTTCCTGTCTGTGAATCTTTTTTATATATTCTGTAAAAGAAGTTTAGTAAAGACAGTGTCAGTCTAGGTTAGAAATCAGACATACAAATTATTCCCTTTGTTTGATTAAATATTTTATATGTATGTCCATCCTTACAAGCCTCAGTGAAAGAAGCTTCAAAAATCCATCACAATCAGTGCAGAGATAAAAGTATAATAACTGGTTCTAAACATGAACACTATTTCTCTCTCCCTCGAGGTTGCCAGTCCTACTGGGTGCTCCAGCGCCTCTCTTTTATTTCAGGAATTCACAACATCCCTCCTCCTGGCCGAGGATGACCAGGTATACTCAGAACAGAGATTATCATACATTGTGAAGGAGGGGA